TTGTTTTATTTATTTTGCGCTGCCGCGCCACTTCTTTCTCCTATGAGGGAGCACACGAATTTTTGGAAGGATTGTAAGTGCAAATAATTTACCTCAGTGATGAATAACACGAATAACTGCACTTAGTAATATTTATTTACAAATATACAGTTACTACATATATTGAAGACCCTGAACTTGATGATTACACTGATGCTACTAATTGTTGTCTGTTGTTGTCTTAATTGTTCTTATTTTTGTTGTCTCTCTGTTCTTTTTTGATGTCTCTTTTATTATGAGTGTGTCAGCCTATTTATAACATAATCTCCACCCTGATAGAGGAAGGGGTGAAAGTGCTAACAGAACGTTGATGAATTTTTTTTTTTTAGGTTTAATGAATTTTGAAAAAAGAAACACCCAAACCTATGTGAATCAAAATCTAAATAAATATTAGATGAACCCGATTTCTTTTTATTTGGCTTTTGTCTAAAAACAGTTGACGTACGAATAAATAAATTATAATACCTAGTGAGATTTCCGTCTGTTTTTCTGTATTAGGTCAGCTACATTTTTATATTAACAGTAGCCAATGGATCATGATGAAATGAAGTGAATATTCTACAGATGTTTATATTTACGTATGTTTCGGATAGTAATTCAATCTTGTGATCATTCATATATTTTCTCGTTGTAGCTTTATACATTTTTCAGTTGAGAAATGAAAATGTCTATTTTTTACTAGTGAAGAAACGCAAAAGTGAAAAATCGAGTTGGGTATCGTAATATATAATATATTATGAAAAAGATGTTAAGACGTTTGTAAACAATTTTTGAACGATATTATTTTTTTTTAGAGAGATGTACAGAAACATTCATTTATCTCCAAAATTTAAAAGCCGAAGAATCAAAGACATTCAAATACAGAGAGTTTTGTTAACATGTCATAAAAAATTAAATGACGTCTCTGACATTGTGTTTCGGAAAATAAAAATATAGCAGCTGATATTTTGTGTTCATTTATTTACCTCAAAAATTCGGAGTGACAGTAAAATAGTAGCATCCACTGCAATAACGTATAAACATTAACCCTAACAGGATTAAAGTCAAATTCAATTTTTATTTTGTGATTAAATAAGAACTGCCTTTAATTTTTATAAATGTAAAGTTTGAAATGAACGCGTATTAGGTACATACCCTTTAATCAGTAATGCCGGTCGCGTTTGACATTGCTTTTATGAAATCGGATCCGTGTTCATTTCATTAAGAAAAGCGAAAATGGAGAAACAAGAAGTGCCGTGGCGCATCCGAATAAAATTTACAGTTAAATTCAATCTAGGCCATTTGTTTCCTTTCTTTCCTCGCGAGAAAACATTTACGAACCGGTAAATTGCAGAAGCACGTGACTCAATGACTCACTTTCACCCCGTTCCATTTGTTTTCCGAAGCCTCCCTCGCTCGCTTTTTATGTTTCTTATAAATAAAAAGAAGCATCATCACCCCGTCCGTTCCACTTTTGATAACGCGGTAATGGTCGCGTTTACAACGGCAATATTACAACGAACCGGCCTAGAAACGAGCAGTGAAACAAACGAAACTCTTGAATGGGGCCCTCCAAACGACACACGATATGGATTATAAATTACACACAAAAAACTATAACCCTAACCAAAAAATTCTACACGTTAGGTTTTGTTTGTTTGATAATTATTTTTGTTCTCTTGTTACTTATTGTTGGTCACACAATATGGCATCTACAATCAGCTATTTTGCTTTAATATTTAATACCCGCTGATATTGATCAAATAATATCTTATTTATATATATGAATAATAAATATACTTGTCGCTGTAGTAGATTGACAGTAATTTATCTAAATACAGTAATAACCTACTTGTCTTTATGATAACCAAAAACGATATTCTTGGATTAGAATAGAATTATATATAAAAATAGAAACAAGGGGACTTTGGTAAATTNGTATTTTGCCCACTTCAAACGTTAGCACGCGTCTCGCGTTGATAATGCCCATCTTTGAAGTGACCGCTCAATAAAATTATGTTTGTGGTAATTGGGGTGACTCTCCTACTTTATTTATTTATTATAGAATTATATATGTTTGACTAATTCTTTTAGTTTTGCTTATAAAAATCTTGAATCAGGTAAACAATTAGTTTAAAATGAGAAAACTTTTGGTGCGACTTTCTTGTAATTATAGATACCAAGGTTTGATATTAGTATCATCTACAATGTGACTAACTTTTTTTATAGGTACCCAATATAAATCCTTGTATCTAGAGGTTATAATGTAGGAAAACATTTCTCAAATACTGCTGCTAGAATTTTTTAAATTCTATCTACAGGCGTGAAATGAGATGGATCTTAAGAGTTAGAAATTTCTAATTTAAAAATATTGATGCATGTCGTAAAACAAACATAATTTAAGTAAAGGTAATTATTCCTGATTCCAGAATATATTATGATCAAGAATAAAGTTATTAGTAATCTAAGAATAATGTTTTCAGAATGTCTACTTCAGAATGTCGACATTTCTCTCATAGGTTGCTACTATGAGTTTAAATAAACATAAATTAAAAAGCCATGAAACTTCTATTTTTACTATGACTTACATGAATGCGCTTTTGGTTATTGCAATGTGATATTTCCTATTAATATGGTCTTCCACAGTGGTGTACCTATTCAGTTAGTTAGAGGATACTTTTTCGCTTTTGATTAAACAATATTCTTTAACGTGTATAAAATTAGAAATATTTAATAGTAGGAGATAGGCGTTACGTTCTGAATGTTCAATATAATTGTTTTATTTATTTTGCGCTGCCGCGCCACTTCTTTCTCCTATGAGGGAGCACACGAATTTTTGGAAGGATTGTAAGTGCAAATAATTTACCTCACTGATGAATAACATGAATAACTGCACTTAGTAATATTTATTTACAAATATACAGTTACTACATATACTGAAGACCCTGAACTTAATGATTACACTGATGCTACTAATTGTTGTCTTAATTGTTCTTATTTTTGTTGTCTCTCTGTTCTTTTTTGATGTCTCTTTTATTATGAGTGTGTCAGCCTATTTATAACATAATCTCCACCCTGATAGAGGAAGGGGTGAAAGTGCTAACCAACTGGTTTCTAATATTATTTCAGTACTTGAAGATAAAGTATCTTAAAGATATTGTTACCTGCAAAGTTCGATACCCTAAAATTACACCTAAACCACTTACATATAATATTTGTAAAAACCAACAAAACTGAATATTTGAATTTCCAACTTAATGTTTCAAGGAAACGGCAGGTAAATGTACCCTGGTCTGAACAATAATTTTAAATAAATAAAAAGTAGAAATATTAATTAGAATATCTCATAAGGATTTTATGTTCAAATTAAGATCGCTTTACCAAAGGATCGTGATAACTGTAGACGGGGTAGACCAGCGACCGGCGTCACGGAGTCGAAATGAAGTTATGAGGCTAGAGACGATCATTTTGGGTCGGGGAATGTGGCTTTCAACATAAATCACGGGCTTTCGAACGCTTCGTCTACCCTATCGACCGAAATAACGACTTTTTGTACCCGGTCATCGAAATCAATTGCGAACAATGCCTACTGTGCTCTATTTATGTTTAGCTACTACTTCGAATTGTTTTCCGAATGGATTTCCATTGCCTATCGTTCGTTGCTAACGGCACTCATTCGATGTTCTTTTTTTTATTTTTCAGATGCACCATCCCATACAAATGAAACCGGCAGATAGCGAGAATAGGAACGGTAAGTCCATCTTCATTTTATTCTTTTTATTATGGACGTTTATCAGTTCGATGTGCACGAAAATATTCCCATATCCCAAATTGAAATTGAGAACCACCCCATTGTTTTAAAAAACATCAGATTCTATTTCCATTACTGCATGCAATATTTTATGTACCAACTGTGAACAGCAGTGGCTGCATAAAAGTTATTTAATTTCTCAAATGAAGCACGGAAAATGTAAAATGTGCTTGTTGAAAAAAACACCATTTGCCATAATATTTCTACGTCTTAAAAGAAATAAATAGTTTAATTTAATTGCATGCTGGTCTGAATGTCAGTGAGTTTTCCATAATAAATTATTGAAACGGAAACTTCACGATTCTGTTATGAAACAAGCAATTTTTCCCAAAATTGCCGAAAATTATACAAACTTTTCTGCACTAAAACTTCTTTTATGAAATACAGAGTAGAACTTTGATAACTTAAACCTCGATAACGTAATAACCTCTATAAATTCATAAAATTTTGTGTTCCCTACCCCTCGGAGTCCAAAACCTCTATTACATAAACGAATAATTTGGGCATCGCACCTCAGTAAGCAGTGAAAAGTGGTTTAAGTAGGGAGAAAGTCTTATATGTAAAAGACGAAGAATTGCTGAATTTCCTAATTTAGAAAAATGCTTGTTTACATGATTTAGACAGTGTAGAAATATGTAAAAACATTAGTGTTAGTGGGCCTATACTAAGAAGGTATTATGGTATCTTCCGAAGATGGCCTTGTAGGTTGAAACGAATTTGTCAAGATTCAATATAAATATATTTAGTGAAAGTTATTTTTCAAGTGTTTTATTTCAAAAGAAAAATCAATATGATCAACTATCATATACAATAGTAAAGGCCAACTACATAGAATTTTTCGAGAATCATGATTTTAAAGCTTAAACTTAAACCCTTAGTAAGTAAAAACCTCAATAACTCAAATTATTTTACGTTTCCCTAGGTCTTTATCTTATCAAGGTTCTACTGTAATATAAATTTTGCTCAACTAAAATATATTGCGTAAATAATGCGTTCCATGAGGGTTTTAGTCCCTTTATATCTCGTCGTGTGTACGCTACTGGTCTTCTATATATATAAACGCGATGTTATGTTTTCTACGCTATTTATTCAAATGAACATATACTTTCATTTGTCTGATCCCCCAGGATTAGAAAAATATGTTCAATTCTGCTTCACCTTTCCGAACAATGCAATCTTCTTGTCTCTTCCTAAGGGGTCTTAACTTACATAATATGAGAGGTCAGAGAATATTGGGCGAGATTCGATTCGAGGCGCAATCAGTATGGATGGTAGTGCATTTGATATAAATCGATTTCCATGATTGCCAAGTCAAAGGACAGTAATAGTGAAATGGAGGAAGCAATCATCTTCTAGGGGCGAGCAATGAGGGTCGCTCGTAACGAATGCATCGTTGGGCTCTTACCGTCGTTTCTTGTTGATATCCCAGGACCGGCCTTGCTCCTCCGTCTACTTAATGGAAATATCCAGTAACGTACACACATAAACTGTTAATTAGTTCAAGAAAGTTTGCTGAAACACTTGAACAGTTCAGAACCTGCGACTAAGTTAATAGAGTCGACGAATGCAATTGGGTTTCGCACTCTCGCTCGTACCATCCACACCCTTATTTCCCTGTGCATATGTATCGTCATAGATATGGTGCACTATGTTTCGTCGACATATCCTGACTTCGTAACAACCGACTTGGAGAACAGAACGTTTGAGACTTATTAAATATAACACATGATATGTACCTACCTATCTTTCGCTCGAAGAGTTGCATGCATGTAACTCTGGTAGTTTTGAAATTACATGCGGTTGTTACAGGATCGCATCGGTTGGTACTTATTGAGAAAGTTTCGTACAAGCCCTCTGTTCGCCCGAATTGAAACGATTGAAGAACAATTTATTTTGTCGGATCATGAATCCTTTGATGTTTAATTACACACTAAGGCTGATACTTATATTCGACATATAAATATTGAAGGATTTTATGTAGCTGCATTATATCATTCCTGATACTTGAAAATATAGAGATGAAATACAAGTATAGAAGACTCGTAAATTCTTAGATTTGCGGATGATATAGCGTTTTTAACATCTACCAAAGAGTTAGGGATTGACAAAACTTTGTTTTAGAATATTTAAACTTCCTAGCCGATATATATATATATATGAAGATTGATATGTAATTATAAGGTTATATATCAGGATGTTTGGGAGGTATGTCAAATGCTACGAGACAAATAAAAATTTGGAAGAACGTTCCTCATTCAATTCTAAAACTCTTGTAAAAATTACAAATCGATTCACTAAACCGTTAAAGTTATTGAAATTTTAAAAAATTGTAATTTTACACGTCATTTTATGGAGATTCGTTAACCGAACAGATTAAATTTATTTTTATTAATAGAAAAAAAACCACCAGAAATTTCAAACTTTTATAATAAGTAACTTGAACTCTGAAGAATCACTTTAGCGTAAGGTTATTCAAATTCACTAAATGGTCATCGAGGAAAAAATGAATAATTAGCTGAAAATCTCGTTTTTACTTGATAATATAATGATGATATTTATAGTATAATTGTCTGAAATAAATGCAATTTTAAAGTTTTAATTATTATTTAAACATATTAAAAAGTTTTACGTTCATTATTAATAAAGATTGAAACTAAATATTTTGTTGTTTGGAAGTTGAGGTCAAGGCGTATTCACTGCCAAAAGTCAGTTAAAAATTTTCCATATTGTTCGTTATTTCTTATTTTATTCAAAGTTTTTGGTCAAATTCCAAATTTTCTCTTAAACCGTATACTTTTTTTTAGTATGATATGCTGCAAAACCTAATTAATCACGAATTTCTAATTTTATGTACTCCTGTCTTCGATTGTACCTCCCAAATATCCTTAAGCGTTTCTATCATATAATTTGCAGTATTGAATTATGAGCCCCTTCCCAATGGAGCTTGCCCACCTAGTAAAATCTCAATATTCTTTCAACATCATCAAAAAATAATAAAAACTGCGTTTTGCTTTCTTTCCTATATTAATTAATAGGGCATATCTGATAATAGGGAAAACGCCTGACCAATTCTATTGTTTCAGCTTTGATTTTCTAAGCAAAAACTCAATTCTCCAAATAATATATGATTCGTTTGTATCAAAATTTTATTGACGTTTGGTTAATACATTCCCTGTAGTACTCAAGGTGCTACAGATGATAAATAGAATTATTTTTATTCGTGCAACATTATTTGTATTTTACTTTGTGAATACGCATTTCTGATTGAGCCAACTGAAATGGGATCTCACAGTTTTTACCATCAAGTACCCTATTGTTGGTGTAGGACTAAAGTCCAGACTACCTACTAGATATGGGAATATCTATATGAGTCGAGTCCGACGTTTTTACAAAGTTACTCAAACTTGCATCTGCAGGCTATTTTGCACATGCCAATTAACCATTCGAAATTGTTATTAAAATTTTGTCTCCATAATGTTATTAATAGGGGAACGTTTAAATATTCCTTTTGAAATAAAATATGAAAGTAAACAACCAGTTTGCGTTAAAACATTTTTCGTTTATCTATTTACAGTAATTACAGTTTGAATATACATCTCATTAGGAGCCAATTCAAATCTTAGCCAAACAAAATGTATGTATTTTAAATCTTATTTAAGACGCATCAGATTTTAACAAGATTACTAAATCAATTAATGCAAACGAAAATTGCCCATTGTTACAATTTGGCATCGATGTAATTGAAGTTATTAATGACTTAGAGATAAAAGTCGAACAATTGTGTTGGCACTTTGTTGTCCAAGATCTACTTTTACCCACTGTGGAACGCCAAAACGCAGTGCATACATTGTTACTCAAATAATTATAGTTAAAAAAATAAGAATAAGATTGTATTGTATAAGTATAGGTATAACATACCATATTTAACTTTTAATGATTTGCAATTGTAAGATTTTTGTACCTTTGGATAGTAATGGGCGAATTTTGAAAGAACATTAGTTGTTCAGAGACTATTGTTAATTAAATTTTATTTCCCCTAAGTGTGTTATCGAGACATGCTTTACGAAAATGATAAATAAGAAATCAAGAAATGTATATAAACAAAAATAGACGTGTGCATCGCTAGTGGAAGATTCATGGTGGTAAAATGTGGTCGACTCTAGGGTATTACCATATTTCCAAACATCATTTTAAAATAAGTGAGAATGTACCAAAATGTTCTTAAATATTTCTACAACGGTAGACAACGGTCCTCTGTCACAGTTTTCTCCAGTATCCAGGATTGTCCTAAGTTCTAGAGTAAATAAGCTGGACTGAAAGAATCAAAAACGTTTTGGAATGTTCAAGGATCATCATGTTTGAGTAGTAGAGCGGTGTTATAACTCCAAAACAACGTATGGAATCTCCTATATTGTTCCAGAATGATATCATCAGTCTGGGTTTGCGAATGTAAACCCAACTTCAAGATTATTTACGTTTATAAACTACTTGAATCGCTATCTATCCACATATAAGCACTTCATTACGCACTTTTTTGTTTAATGGAATATTTAAGAACCGTTAATTGAATTAAACAATAACAGAGAGAAATAGTGATCGCAGACGTGATTAAGTAAGAAGGCCTGTGCAAACATTATTACTGATGATGTGTTGGCGACAGCGATTTAATGAAATTCAAATAACTATGTTTATATAAAGCGGCATGATCGTATATAAATATTAGATGCTCGTATTGACTCAACAGTTTATATTAAACTGGTGGCGACTGGTGTAAAAGGTTATAGGGGCTCGTAACCACTCCTAGTTTTTTTCTTAAAGGAACGTTCTGTTAATTTCTGTAATGCTAAATATTACAACGAGCACGTAAACTGTAAATCGCAAATGTAAATACCTTAACGATCTTTTTATTGAATTATGCAGTGTACCGCTAAAAACACGCG